CTTTCTCCGGCTGTTTTACTCCTTCTTCGAGGTCCCTCCAAAAGTTCGCAAAGTGGAGACAGTGAGCAAAAAGGTTGTGGAGAAGGTTCTGGAGAGTAAGATGAAGGGGAAGAAGGAGGAGAAGTCAGACCCGCCCCGGGAGGATAGAGAGAAGAATTCGAAGAACAAACGCGACAAGTCGAAGGAGATGAAGCAGGGAAAGATGTCGGGGAAGCGAGAGGTGGACGCCGCTGATGTCCCATTGGACGGCAGCCCGGGGGCGGCTCAGCAGCTGCCTGTGACGTCACATGACACCAAGATGGCCGCCGGACACAAGAGGAAGAACTGTGAGTCGGTGTGGGCGTTGTGTGCGTCCAACAGTGTGTCGCCGACGTCAGCCTCCGAGGGTGCGATGAAGTGCCAGCGTCTGCAGGAAGTGGTTCCCTCCGACAGTCAGACGTGTGTGTCTCTGGCGTCCTCCGCCAAGTTCAAGGTCACGTCGCAAGAGAACAGTGGCTCTCCTGTGGCAGTCGCTGAGAAGTGGTCCAAGGCAGAGGGGGATGTTGCGAAGTTTGAAAACGCCGTAAAACCTTCGGAAGCCAAAGTGCTGAAGTGCAGTCCCTCTGTGAGGGATGGGAGGAATGGAATCGAAAAATCCCTTAGCTCTCCTCTCACCGCTCCCCTCCCCTCTCCCCTCCCCTCTCCCCCGCCCAACTTGTTTGAGAGGATGGATTGTCTAAGCAGGCACACACACAAGGTGAGCGCTAAAGACTCCCGTGGGGTTTCGAACCCCGCACAGCCCGCCACCAGGGGGGACTCGAGCACCAACAAAAACCATGTTCTGGTCAAGGAGACCAAAGTGGACAACGAGAGAGCCAAGGCCAAAGCCTCGGTCAAACCGGCCAAAGTCGATGATGTCATCGCTGCCAGCCCTCCCGTGACAGTGGTCAGGACCCCGCCCAACCACTTGCGACCCCCGGCTGTGTCCACCCCGACCCGACTGACCGGCACTCTGACCAGAGACGCCGAGACTTCTGTGACCCCACCCAACCACTCGCGACCCCCGGCTGTGTCCACCCCGACCCGACTGACCGGCACTCTGACCAGAGACGCCGAGACTTCTGTGACCCCGCCCAGCCAATCGCGACCCCCGGCTGTGTCCACCCCGACCCGACTGACCTGTACCCCGACCCGACTGACCGGCACCGCGACCCGAGGTCACACACAGACCAGAGACGCCGAGACTTCTGTGACCCCGCCCAAACCGACGCCCGAACCCAGGCAGCCCGTCACCATGTCCAGCACTTCCTCTCAGACGACCTCGACCTTTGCCCCTGACGAGGTCATCCCCAAAGGGCGGCCCCTGGGCATGGAGGAGTCGCACGATGGGTCAAAATGTCCGCCACCGAGAAAGACGAGTTCTGTAGCGGGGACTCAAACCAAAGACCTTCTGGATGTTGTTCCGGTGGACAACGGAGAAGCTGAGACGATAACGCCAAACGGCACAAGCCTGAAAGTGTCGGCGGTCCAGACTGTGAGATCCTCCACGCCCCAGGAGCCAACAAAACGCGGCGCTTGCCCGGAAAGAGAGACTAGCGCCGTAGCGTCTTCAACCACCGAAAGTCCCGGGCTCGCAGACCGCCCGTGTCCTGCCGCTGGTGACCGGTTCTCTGGGTCGAGGTCGCCTGTGTCCATCCCTAAGACAACGGGCAGTCAGTCGGCGTCTGCCTCAGTGGTGACCGTAACGTCCACCGTCACTTCCCCCACCACCGTCACCTTCTCCTCCAATCTCCCCGCACCGCCAAAACTTCTCAAGGCTTCCTCGACCACAACAACAAACAAAGCTGACTCCTCCTCCTCTTCCTCCTCCTCCTCCTCCTCCTCCTCCTCCTCCTCTTCCTCCTCCCCCTCTACAACAGTCAGCTCTGTGGGTACCCACTCTCTCCCTCCCTCGTCTGTGGTCAAGAGTTCGTCGTCTGTCCTCCCCCCGGCATCGACCAGTGCCAGCAAAACTGCGACCATAAGCACCGCCTCTGCTGGTGTGCTCACTACGACCTCCACCAAGGTGACCAGCTCCTACCCGCTCTCCCGAACCACCGCGACCTCCACCAAAGTGACCAGCTCTCACCCGCTGGCCCGAACCACCAGTTCTGTCCTCAGCACTAAGATGTCCGCCGCATCGGGGACGGGAACACACCGTGGAGTTTCCTCGTCCCCACCGATGGTCATCCTGGCCTTACCTCCCCTGTCCAAGCCGGAGGTGGTCAAACCCGTGCCTTCCCCCGCCCCGCCTGCGCACTCAGTGACCCCCGGCACAGCGTCGTCGTCTGACGTCAGTGCCAGACAGAAAGTGTCGTCGGTGGACTCGAGTGTCGGTAAACCTGTCAGCGCCGCGACACATAAGCCGGAGCGGCCGCCGGGGAAGGAATCGGTGAGCGTGACTGAGGCAGACACGTCGGTCAAACAGACCAGTGTGGTGCAGCGATCGGACGCTCCGGTCACTAAACTGACCATCAAGACGGAAGTCCTCAGTCTGCCCACCTCCCTCACTGCCACGCCCGGCCGGTCGGCCAAACCGTCAGAAAAGACATCGGAGGCTGTACCTGTGGTGACCTCCAAGTCGACCCCGTCCCCCGATGCCCCGCCTCGCCCTCACACCTCTCCCAAAATCTCGCCAAAGAGTCGCGGTACCGAGTCGGTCCACTCTGCCTCCAGTGACAAAACAACAACCAGCAAAAAGGCAGACGTTCACTTGACCGCTGTCCACCCTCTGCCCAAAACGATCTCCCAGCCGTCGTCAAAGTCGCGGGCCGTGGCTACGACATCCACATCCGGGGGGTCAAGGTCGTCCAGCAGCAGCATCCTTCAGACGACCAAAATCACGACACTGATGCCCAAGTCGAGCTCGGTGACGGCCAAGAGTGGCATGTACCCCAAGAACTTCTCCTACCCCTCCAGCATCAACAACATCCCCTCCTCCCGGAGCTTCCTCCACTCACCCGTCACCCCTCATCTCTCCATGATCAACGGAAGTTTGACCTTTGACCGCGCCATGATGGCCAAAGCCTCGTCAGTCATGCAGACGCCCTTGACAACTTCATCTTCTTCCTCATCCTCATTGTCGTCGTCCACGCCGTCGTCATCTTCCCACAGCCACAAGTCTTCGTCCTCCTCGGCCCGCCACAAAGACTTGGACAACAAGGAGAAAAGTTCCAAAGTGAAGACCATTCCTCCACTCTCCATCCCCAAGTCGTGTCTCATCGGTACGACCTTGAAGCTTCAGAGGTCGCCGGGCTCCACTGACCACTATATCTTCGCGCCCCACTCCTCGTTTAGCGCTGCCGCCTCCCACCACCACAACGGCGATCGGTCCAAGTCGTCCCGCGACAACAGCAAACACCACAATGGGGCTCGAACCCCCACCTCCCCGCCCGGCCCCTCGGGAAAGGACGGTGTCTTCAGCGGTGAGAGACAGCGAGTGCCCACCATCAAAATCTCCGACATCAACAGAAATCCCATCATTGTGGACAGTGGCAGCAACCACAACAACAACAACAGCAACAATAACCACCACCACCACCACCACCATCACCAGCAGCAACAGCAACAGCAACAGCAACAGCAACACCATCAGTTCCGTTCATATGGCGGGCATGGATCCTCTCGCTCCTCCTCCTCCTCCTCCTCTTCCTCCTCCTCCTCCTCCTCTACCCCCGAAAACGGCTGCAGCCGGGGAGTGGGGCGGGCCTCCCTCAGTCGGGGGAGCAGTGACTCAGGCTCTCCCCCCGGGCCCACCGACCGCTCCCCTGCCCGCGACTCCCGCCGTCCGTCCGACTCGGAACTGCTCCTGAACCAGCACTGGCACGGCTACCCGGCAGAGCTCATCTTTAACGGCTTCAAGATCCCGCCCACCTCCAAGTTCCCCGACCTTCACTATGACACAGACGCTATGCCGCTAGATTACTCGCAGTCTTCCTCCAAGTCGTAGCTCTCTCGTCTGC